GCTTTGGGTCCTCCTCCATGTCCACATTGTCCTCAGTCCTCATCATCCTGGCCGGGCCCTGTCAGCGCCCGCCGGGGCACACTGAGAATTTGTGCAACGTTGGCAGCGTCACCCGCACGAACTTCTCCGGAAGCAGTGAAACTGCTTCCTCGGATTCCGTTCGCATGAATGCACGAATGCTACATAAATGTTGAAGTCGAACATAACTGCATGCACGATGTATGAATGCAAGCAAGAAACGTTCTTCTGTGCCTCTCGTCCATTCCCTCTGCCACTCGTTGTGCAAGTAAAGCTTGAGCCCTTTACAATTGGGATCATCAACCTCCAAACCAGCCTTCCTTTTTTCCTCCATCACCTTCGCAGCATTGACCGCACCGTACTTGCCGATCAATTCCTGTTCCGTCAAAGGTTTCATCTTTCCCTTTTCCTTGTCCGTCCCCACAGAAATGGACGATGCAGTCCACTGCCCGACCAGCTCATTTTCGTCTCCTCCTGCAGCGACGATCAAGTCGATGGCTTTGCTCTTTGAATCTTCGTCCCGCACCAACTTTGCCAAGTCATCAGGCAAGGCTTGCATCCTCTTTGGGTTGCCTTTCAGGCGATTCAAGAACATGGCGGCGTTCTTTCGGTTGTAGAGTGGCGAAGAACCTTGGACCAAGCCGTCGCTTGCACTGCCAGGCGTTGTTTTTGCACTGCCAGGCGTTGTGATTGCACTGCCAGGCGTTGCAGGAGATGGCGTACCAGGTGCCTCCACCATGCGTGGGGTTGCAGGACTTGACCAACCCATCTTCGCACTGACATCATCAAAGGTCGGGGCATTAGGGGCCGGAGGAACGGCACCCCTGGTGGTAGGGGCCGGAGGATCGGCACCCCTGGTGGTAGCGGCCGGAGGATCGGCACCCCTGGTGGTAGGGGCCGGAGGATCGGCACCCGTTGTGGTAGGGGCCGGAGGATCGGCATCACTGGTAGGGGCCGGAGCTGGCGTTGCTGCCTTCGGCTTGATCAGTTTTGCAAGCTCATCCTTGCAGAACTGCTTGCAACCCTCATCCCCAGTAGCCATAATGTCCTGCAAGAGCTGTAGCTTTTGCAACTTTGTCGCGTTCATCGGCAAAGCCTGGTATTTTTTTGCCGCCTGTGTTGCCATGTCGACCTGACAGTGGCGGATTTAGGCTTTGGGGTTTAGGGCTGTATAAAATTTAGGGAGTTAAGGCTTCGGGTTTAATGTTGAGGTTCTAGGTTATGGGGTTTATACTTATTTAGTTTCTTACAAGTCGCACGGCCTCCACCTTGGCTTTATCAGCGTCTTCCTTTTCCTTGGCCTTGTCCTTGGCCGATCTCATATGTTCGGCCTCCTCCTTGTCCTTGGCCAATCTTGCCAGCCTGAACTGTTCCCTTTCCTTGGCCAACCTGGCATTCTCAGCTTCCTCCCTTTCCTTGGCCATCCTGGCTTTCTCAGCTTCCTCCCTTTCCTTGGCCAGCTTGGCTTCCTCCATTTCCTTGGCCATCCTGGCTTTCTCAGTTTCCTCCCTTTCCTTGGCCAGCTTGGCTTCCTCCATTTCCTTCGCCAGTCTGATGGCTTTCTCGGCTTCCTCCCTTTCCTTGGCCATCCTGGCTTTCTCAGCTTCCTCCCTTTCCTTGGCCAGCTTGGCTTCCTCCATTTCCTTGGCCATCCTGACTTTCTCAGCTTCCTCCCTTTCCTTGGCCAGCTTGGCTTCCTCCATTTCCTTGGCCATCCTGGCTTTCTCAGTTTCCTCCCTTTCCTTGGCCAGCTTGGCTTCCTCCATTTCCGTGGCCATTCTGATGGCTTTCTCGGCTTCCTCCCTTTCCTTGGCCAACCTGGCTTTCTCAGCTTCCTCCATTTGCTTGATCATTTTGCTTACTTTCTCAGCTTCTTCCTTTTCCTTGGCCAACCTTGCTTTCTCAGTTTCCTCCCTTTCCTTCGCCATTCTGCTGGCTTTCTCAGCTTCCTCACGTTCCTTGGCCAACATGGTTTCATCCTCCAGTTCCTTGGCGACCCTGGCAAAATCATTTTCAAGCTCTCGCTTTGGAGATTTTCTGATCGCATCATCCTCGCGTTCCTCGAGCCCGACCTCACGCATGAGATGCGCCAACGTGGCATCAAAGCCATCCTTTGTACCTGTGATCGAAACAAACCAGAACATGTGCACACTGAAGCTGCAACAAAACGCGAGTCATGGATGTCCTTCTGTCTGCAAGTCAGCAGGTGGCAGATCGTACTGGGTCGGCTGGGCGTCCTGGAAACAGATATGGCGCGTATCGGAAACAGGATGGGTTTGGCGGGATTGAAGTCCTGGGAGGAGATGTCCATCTCGCAGCCGTAGAGCTGAGACTCGAGTTCTTTCATCAGGTCCTGCTCCTCTTGCGCGTCGATCGTGGCCTCCGTCTGCTGAGTGTCCTAGATAGGCGGCAGCATGTTTGTTTGCTTTTCTTCCAGTTCCCTGAGCTGCAGGAAGGTGTCCGAAAAGCCCTGCCCAGCCAC